CACAGAAGAAGGCAATGGCAAACCGCTTCTGGATCATCTGCCAAGAACGTATATGAACAGGTCCCAGTCCGAGAAAAGGATGGAAGGATCCTGTTCATATGGACCTGTCGTCAGACAGAACACTAAATAATAATAATACCCGTTAACAGGCGAGGTCATAAGATCGGTGCGTTGGGTCTGTAGTCCGAACAACTGCAGGAAGCTGTGAGTGTCCTGCCCTCTCTTAGGTCTATAATGAACTGTAAGGGAGTCGTAGGTGATGTAATTACAGCGACTCCGAGCAAGTAATGAACACTCGTTATTTCACACTGCGTTAGAAACAGATGAAAGGAGACACGTAAATTATTCCCGCTCTTTGTGCATGGAATTTTAAATAACAATGTAAACTTGCAATAATGGAAATAACATAAGAACGTGTCTGTGGGACGCCCCAAATCTGGTGTACATCGTAACCACGGCATTCACCAGCAAGGGTTTAACGGGGGGAAAAAATATGCCTGAATATTTGGTGTTTTTATGTTGGTATCATTTTGTTCCCGAAAGTGTTTCCCGCAAAATTACCTCAGAAGGAACATTTCCTCTCAAAGATGGGGACACAAAGATAACAGAATGTGGCTTCGACACAACGTTTCAAATTTAGATGACGGATTCAGTCCTCTCAGCGTTGAATTGTTCACATCGGGACGCAAAGTGAGCGCTCTCTACTGCAGTAATGTTGCCGCCCAGGGTTGCTGTTAGATTCGTTTCATGCATTAGTTGCAAGCTGCATCCCAAAACACGAGGTCCAGAGCCAAATTACTTGCTTATAAACTTCCAACTAGCGCGGACGAGCCATGTTTCTTTCTCCTGGGAGGTTGGAAACTCGCATGAAGAGGGGTCATTATTCGAACAAAGGTAATTTTGAGCTGTAATTGGAACCGATATCATTGTTGGACACAGAATAATGACCTCGCAAGGACCTTCTGCCACGTTTGGAATGTCTGAGTGGGGGGTGTTTCATTCAGGTGATCGGTTTTCTTTCAGAGCACGCTCCACGCGCGGGTGTCGATGGCGGTGAGTCCAGCTCCGGAGGCCGGTGGGCGCCCTCTGTCCCACGTGACGTGCAGACTTCCTCAGCTGCTGAGCGCGCGTCCCTTGCGAGAAATGGCGAAGTCGCTGCTACCACGACAGAGGCCATGGGCTTGTCTCCTGTCAGAGCCAGTGACGGTCTTTCATGGAATGTTGCAGGATCACCAAGACAGCGGTCGTCTTCAGATTCACCTGAAATGATAACCATTCCATCATCCCTTTCTTCAATCCAAAGCGATCGATCTGCTGGAAAAAAAACACTTTCCAGCGCAGATGATACCGGTCAGTCCTCGTCTTCCAACATCGAAGTGTCCGGAATCCTTATCAGCATCGACGGTGTGCCCACATTAGGCCCCTTCGATGAGCCAAATACTGAATCCTCATCCCAGCGAACAAACAGGGCTGAGGAAACAATTTCCCTTGGTCCCGTAGAAATCTTTTCCATTCTCCATGAAATTATATCTACTTCAATACTACAGAGTGACAATGACGAACCCTTACGTCCAACTACATCTGACACAGACAAAATAAATTCGTCGTCCTCAGTTCCAGTTAAACAACCATCAGCGGCCCTCACATACCCAATAAATTACGTGTCCGAAAAACATGACATCGACAAAGCAACCATGTATTCGGAACCACGGTTCTCTCCTTCTCCCGTGCCAGCAAACCAAAAGCACGACTCCACATATCACGGCCATCTCCTTCTCCCGTGCCAGCAAAACAAAAGCACGACTCCACATATCACGGCCCCTTGGAGTCGAGTAATCCCTACGCTCACTGGGACAGTGACAGCGAAGAGCAGGAACGCGAGATGGAAATGCAGCGACCACACGATGAGAACAACGCTGCGACTAGGACCTCGGGGCTAACTCCGGATGCAGGGACAGAACACTCCACTTCAACACCTACAACCGGTCGTAGTTACTTACTCCTCCTAGCTGGAAATTCAACAATAGTTCAGCTTCGCCAAAAAGACTTCGCAAAGTACTTGAAGTTGAACCTGGCAGCAAGGTTGTCTCTCGAATACGACGACGTTCGAGTGAATCGTGTCGTCCTGGCACCTCCACAGCTTTTGGTAAACGTCAGTGTTGTAACGCCGTCTGAAGCTGCAGTAGCCACGGACCCTGAACAGGGATCAGTACACGATGATGCCCTTGTTAAGGAAGAGGCGCCCCTACACATGATGGCAGAGACAAATGCAACATTACTGGAGTTATCTGGGGAGGAGTACCACGTGGTGAGACTCCTTCCACTCCATTCATATCCATCAAACAAGAAACCAGACGAAGACGAAGATAACCCTCCTACTTCCTCTGCTGTTATCAGAAGTCATCACAGCGACATTGAGCTACTGATGTACACTGCTGTGGGCAGTGCGTTTGCTCTTGGTATCCTAGCAACACTCTTCATAACCTTCAGTCGTTACACGAGGATAAAAAATATACCGTGGCCATGGCACAGGCCAAAGTGTCTCTGTTCATCATGGACTCTTCCTTCGAGCCACCTTAGACACAGACGTATGGCTGAATATCCATCAGTAACAGCTGCCCCACCGCCAGTGATTTATTCGGGGTCCTTTGCAGCAAGGGCGGCTTCAAATTCTTCGGGGAACTCGTGGGTGGACGAGTACCAGACACAGTCCAGCGTTATTCTGGCAGATGGCGTGGCTTCTGCAGGGGGGGCTGCTATGCTTGGAGTTGAAGCCATGAAGTTTCCTGCCAGAGACCCGTTGTACACTGACGCGGAGATGGGAGACGCAGCTACGAGCGTCATCGTAGGCCACTATGCAGACACGCCAAGACATCACAGTCCTTGTAAGCTTCACATCTTCAGCTGCAGTCCTGGCAGTATTGTGATCCCGGCACCTATGCTGACATCGCATCACCAAGTGAGAAGAAATCTTGCCGACAACTATCAGCCACTTAGCAGCAAGGCAGCCAAGGACAGTCATCACCTTGACGTCAGGATCAGGGATGACTGCAGACTAGGCCACGAAAATCCTAATTATCAAACTTAAATTGGAGCTGCTGTGACTTTAAAAATCACGTAGAACTGATGGAAAGAAAGTACAGGAACCAGAACATAACATGAAACCCAAACTTTTGTTTTTGTTGTAATATGGCGAAGGGATAAATTCTTCCTTGACTTTGCGCCAAACAAAGTACGACTTATAAGCGAACCTTCAACTGAAATACGATAAGTGATCACTTTGTATAAAAACGTCAGTCGATGCGTGTGTAAAGTGGAGTGAACCTAACCTAACAAATGTAAATAAAATGTTTTTTGTGTCCCTGTGCTGTGTATATCCTTGAACTCCCATCTGTTGTCTGGATGATGTATTTCTGAATACTGATATGATCTTATTTTCAATGTGGCTGTAATATAATACAGATGTAAGAACACGTTTGTTGTAGTAGTATTTACAGGTTAGTCGATAGAATTTAAATGTTACTTCTTAGTTTTCATTGCAGTGTTTCCAATCAGCACGACTGCAGCGAATGCATTGTTTTTGGACAGCTTTAAATATCTGTCACATGAATACATTTCTTGTTTGTTGTATGTTGTTTTAATTAGTATGAAGCACAGAAACCTTTTCTGAATGATTTTATATCTGCATCATGAGTGTCCTTCAAACATGTCAAGAATGAATATCAACTCTACCCATCTTACAGAAAAAACTATCAATCTGTTTAAAATCTGAAAGCAGGTTTGAAATTATTATAGTGGAACTGTTGTACTCCCAGATATTTAAGCTAACAATATCAATTATAAAAAAATTAAAGCACCCTTTTGTTCAATACAGATGAGTAACACAAAAATAACTTAAAACTGAAGGTGACATCAGATTACTAGCTTCAATTATTTCAAATAGAAAGCTATTTCAATAAATTGTGCTTCAGAATCATCAAAATGTCATTTGTTTCAATTCAGTGTTATAAAGTGTGATGTTTGAGGTATTTTGCAATGGCATTTGTTTTTTCCTACATTGATAAACAAATAGCACAAAAAACAAAAATGGAGATTAAAAGTGAATACAGAATTTTGATTGGCAAGCCTGAAGGGAAGAGACTACTTGGAAGACCTAGATGTAGAAGGTAGGACACTGTTCAAATATCTCTTGTGAATGTGGTGCATTTGAGTTCCATAAAATGGAATTTCTGAGAAGTGACTGAGAGTAGTGTGAAGTGTGTAAGTTGGTACTGTGAAATCAAGAATGATACTTTCACAGTGACGGTATAATTTGGACCAAAGATGGGAATCGCACAGATCAGAAGATTTGAGATTCTAACAGTGGTAAAGATGTTTGTGGTCTTCTAGGCCTCCTGTCCAGTGGGTACCAAGGGTCCCTTCTCCAGGGGTAAAGCATGACCTAGGCTTGATGCTGATCACTGCTGTGGTTGAGAATGAGTAAGAGCTATACCTCCTCTCCCCTGTGTGCCTACATGACGCTTAATGGGGGTGGCTTTAAACACCTGATCAGTCCAGCTTGTGGGACTGCTCTCAGCCCTTACTGAGACTGAATTAAAATCAATGAATAAAAGGTACATTTCTGGCACTTAATTTGTAGGCACAAATGTCATAATCTAGTGGGCGGTCATGAAGATTAAATTAGGCACCAAATCATTCAACATTCTGTACATTCCTCCAATCCAGGGAACCTCCATTATTCAATGACATTGACATCAGCATTGCTAATCAATTATGATTACCACATTCCTTTCTCCAGTTGAGGTTAATTACCTTTGTGAGCTGTTGATCAGAAATTCACAGTAATAAGAATTTATATTAATGGACTTAGTTTCAGTTTTCACTTTTCTATTACATTACTATGTTGGCAGTACCTGTACAACTACTTTTGATGTAAATACATCTATATGGAAGGGTCATTCTACAAAAAAGTGTTATGAAAAAGTGACAGGAAAATGTGTAAGATGGTTACCTAGGAAATATCAACAATTTGTAAAGATGGACTGACAATAATGGCCAATTTGCATGCATTGTTATGTTACCTAGGAAACGTCATCTGTTTACTCGGCATTGTTGTGTTACATTACTGCCGTCAACAATCCGTTTCGTTATTGCGGAAAGAGCTGAGCTGTGAATCGCTTGTAGAAGAAGTGCGTCGTAGAGTGGATAATTTTGTGCTGGTAAAAACGTTTTAGAATATCACAAGTACTTATCTTATATAACAATTATTACATTTCATTTCATACATTGCATTTCATTTCATTTCATATATTAAATTTCATTACATTACAGAGACGTATTTACGTCAGATTCTCCGGAACCGTGGTTCCACTGTCACTTTTTAACCACTTCTGCATTGCTTGTTTATAATAAACTATCCATGCTCATGGCGTTACACTCATTATATGTAACAGTCAACGTGTCTGATTAGGGACCTTCAGGACTTTTAGACTGCCACTAACAGCTGAAACATGTAAAACTATATTCAAAATTGTATTATTAACATTAGTAAATAATTAATTGATGTTAAGAAGTGTATAAAATGTTATTTTTACATGTTGGTGGACCAAAGTTAGAGTTTATGTTTTATGTCTGAGTTGTCCCACACAAGTCAGGTTCAGAATAAATCTATTAATTGGTCCCAGTATAATACTGGAGTAATTTTAAAGTACTATTACTGCCACTGAGTGAGGACTGAGTAACACAAAACTCTTAACTCAAAGATTGATTCATCAACACATGAACACCTGACAAAACTCATTTCACAAACACAAGTTTGGCTGTGCTGCTATGTTTTAGTGTGTACAATGAGCAGAGTGGTTAGCACTCTTACTTCATATTAAGGGGAGTTATCCTTACAGGATTCTTTAAAGGTTAGTGACGATCTTTGATTCATTTCACAAAAAATACTTTTCACATTGCCCATTGTCTGAGGTTTATTTAATATGCATGGCATTTCGAGAGTTGGCCCTACTCTCATCTTCTGGCTATTATACAGACACCCCTTCTTATGATAATGAACGGCGTCAAACCCAGAGTCTTGTAAATGCTTGACTAGACAAACCACCAGATTGCCAACAGTGGACACTGTCCAACATTGTAAGGGTTGGTTGGCACAGTGCACCACTACTTCCTGGTATATTACTGGATGTGAAATAATTACTTTTAGGCTGTAGAAGTAGCGCGTGCCTGCATTAGTAGTGTTTTATAGTTAATTCGATTCACAAAATACATTGTAGTGTGAATGTTTGTGTCGAAAAAAAGGGGGGAAATTTTCAGTTGCACTGAAAATACTTAGCTATTATATGTTCTCATGCTCGCCTTGTCTTTTTCATCTTCCCTTTCCCTCCTACAGTGACAAAGCTAAAGCTCACAGTTATGTTGCTACCACTATACAGAATGTACCAAAAAATGTATACACTTTATAACACGGGAATATTAACCTTGTGTGAATACCTTTTTGGGACATTCTATATGCGGGTCGGAGATGCACAACAGATGGCAGTACTATACATATGTGACAACATACTTTACACAAGTTGCCAACGTTAGCTGTCTGTGCACGTAATGATGTTGAAAACAACAGTTGAGAACACGCGATCGGATTGTTCTCATTAGAATTGATTTTAACTCGATAAACTTAATATACGTAAATTTACTGCTCTGGTTTGTAAGAATGTGTTTTAAAATTACGAATTAAGACATTTTATTTGACTTAGTATTTTCTGCAGTTCGTTCTTTACAAATAAATCTTACTGGAAAGGTGGCTACAAAATGGCGCGCAAAATGTAACCATAATGTAGCTCAGAGGCTAGGTGAATGCTTTTTTTGCAGACAAGAACGTTGAGTGAAGTCTTCCAAGAATGTCAGATGCAAGCAATACAGCTGAAGGTAGAGGTTCAGGTAGGAGGAAGTTAATCTGTTTGATCAGTTAATATGAGGTTATATTTAAGTTTCCAAATCATAAATGCTATCGTAGGTTGTACAGTCATAACATTTGTGTATTTTTTTAAGGTGATGCAGTGATACAATTCCAGGGTTGTGATGACAGCATGTCATACCATGTAGTAACTCGAGAAATGGAGATAGTTGAAGAAGAACTCGAGAAAAAGACAGCCATAGAGGAAGAGAGGCTTAAGAAGGAAATTGAAGAGGTATGCGTTCTTTGAATTGTCAAATCAGTCAGTATTTGTAAATTGTGCATTCGTGCAAAAGCACAGAGGAGCAAACTGTGTCTCTAATGGCCTAATTTGGGCACATAGTTGTGCTTTTAATTGTAGTAATGGAGTCTTTTATAATTTGTGTTAAAAACTGTTGCCATAAACATTTTATAGTTGTGTAAACTGTATTTCATTTCTTATAATTCCCTGCTCCTCTTGCATGTAGCTTGCTTAATATTTTTAAGTAACAGAGCTGTTACTATGTGGTCTTAGTTGGAAAGTTTTAATTCCACATTAAGATATTTGTTGGATGTGTTGAAGGATTGAACACACATTTTGTACACTTATCACGTCATGTGCTAATCGTGTTGTTTTCCGGCCACAAAATACTCAGTGTTTTGAAACAAAGGTGCTAATCATGTAGCGTCTTCTTTTTGTGTATTTTGCTTTTATTTTAATGGGTATCATTGCTTATACAGGAGTAGTGAGAACAAAAGGACTTGTGATCATTCTTACATCATTAGTTATGTGAGCATATGAGGTAGTTTGATTTGGGTCATTTCCATTTTAGGTTATGTTGGTTTAGTGTAACTTTTTTTTTAGATGTATTTGTTATGTTGTGATTCCTACTAAGTATACTGCTTTAACTTAATTGGTTAATACTTATAATGAACTCTTCTTGGGCTACCAGCCATGTCAGGTGGTTTAATGGAGTATCAGCATAACGGTTTCATCGTATCCTGCTGTAGTGTTTGCCTCTCTGTTTTGAATAAACGCTCTTACACACAGTGAATTAGGACCAAAATTAGAAGTTACCTAACTTGAAGGAAATTAAACTATTAGGAAACCAGACAGGCATGGGAACTGCTGATTTTAATACTTTTGGTAACACTGAAAATATAATATGCTCGTCATCATGGAAAAAAAATGGTGAGGCTTAAAAGCCTCTGCAAAAGGGCATGACATCAAGAGAAGTCAATGTCATTGATGATTCCTAGCAGCTCCTTAAAGGTGATATCTGCTGTCATAACAGATGTGGATGCTGCAACATTTCCTTTGAAGTCGCCACTTCAGAGCAAACATTGCTACAGCACGTACACAACACTCAAGGTTTGAGTGAGCTGTTGATCCATGTCTGCATAAAACAGCTGTTTGTGAACTTCATTATTTATGCACGTTTAGGATCAATTGTATAATTGAAGAGATTACTACTTACAGGAAAGATGCAAAGAGCGTGTAGATAGAATAGCTGAAGACTGCATGAAATTATAAATCAAAGAATGAGATGCACGGAAATGGATATCTGAGGCTTTAAGTTGCCTTGTCTGTAAATATAAAATGTGAATGGAAATTTAGCAAATTTTATATTATGTAGCAGAAACTTTAGTAATACTGGAAAAATTACATTGTTTTTGCTGTTTAACAGGAAAAGGAAGAGAATGAATTGAAGGAACAGCGGTACAAGAGATTGATGCATTTGCTAACCCGCAGTCAGTTTTATACGGATTTTATGGTAAAGAAATTGGATTCACGAAAGAAAGAATTAACAAAGAAACGGTAAGAGCAGTTTCATGTTGACATTGATGAGGTATCACATTAGTACTCAAAACAGTCCTTAATGTTCCAGATAGTATAAAATTGAAAGGGGGGGGGCAATGGAACTTTTCTCTGAATAAGTTGAAGATAATGAACGTACTGCAGTTTCACTATTTTTAAAAAACCTTTTCTCAAACGCTTTGTTAGAACGTTGTTTCTGAACTTCCGTCTGCACCGAGTAAAGATGTGTTTTCATGTCAGGATAAAATAAACTGACGTTCTCCTGTCCGTTGGTCCAAAGAACGGCACTGAGCGGGATGTGGATGAAGTGAAAACCTGCCTCTAGAGTAAAATTGAGTCTCAGCCTTACTATAAGTTATCTTAACTGAAGTTGCTTGTGAGTTTCCTGTCTGTTTCCAAGTGAATGTTAGGATAGTACCTTCAAATAGGTCATGCCATCTCCTTCCTAATCCTTATGCACTGACCATACTTGATTACTTTAAATATAAGTCAAAGCTACACAACCTTTGCAGTTGGAACAGCATTATTAAATAATCAGAGAGCCCTTGAGAAAACTCGCTACTGGTCTGTCAATCAGAAAAGGCTCAGTACGCATTAGGCAAATGAACGCAGCGATATGTTTACACATGGCGTCTGTCTCATTTTGGCGCAGGATTAAAGTCACATGGTGTTAAGATAGTGTAATTGCGTCATATTGTGAATATTCTAACAACTATTTATTTTAATCCGTCTTATCACAATATTTAAAATTTCTTATAATTAAGATAATAAAATATCATTGATGTTCCATATCGATTTACATTTTGGAACTTCTTTTACACAACATGTTTCAGTTTTTATAAAACCATCTTCAGGTGTAAAATATTTACGAACTTAAAACTCAAATATGATTCCATTTGGTGATGTTTCATGCCATTTGTTTTTCAATTTTGGGCGAGGTGTTGTCTTTTCTTAAATTTTTTATCAGATGTACATATCGGTCATAGATGTAGGAGTGATTGTTCCGATATGTCCAGAAGTACTACTGTCATCGTATAGGTGTGGTGTTACTTAATCAGATCATACTTTTAATGTTATGATTAATGAAACTAGCATTCTTATTTTTTACTACTGAGTGGTTGTTAAAATATTCCATCTGTGGAATTACAAACTTTGGTAGTCCTTACAAATTATTTATGTTTCTGTATAGTTCTCATTATTTTATGTGATTGTGGTTCAGTTGTCTTTTGTTATGTGCCATTTTTAGTATTCGTCGTCATAAAGTTGAGGTGCCGAATGGAGAAGCGAATGGTGAGAGAAAAGCTTGTAGTATTAACACGCACAATCTGCGCGAACGAAATGAGAACGGCTCGTCACAGTCTTCAGGCGGTGGTTCCCCTGTGAGGAAAGTTGTCACCAGATCAAAGGGTTCAGAGAATGTTACAAGAGCTAAGCGGAAACTAAACACGTACGATATTGGAGACGTTATAGACTCTGCGGTATGGTACATTTTTGAAAGTTATTTATATTAAAATGCAGAATCTACATGTACAATTCTTTAAGTTTATTAAAATTGTGAGAAAATGAAAGCACCTCCTTGGGGTGGATCCAGTCATTCTAAAGGTAATGTCGTCGTGTTGTCTGGAAAAATAAGTTTTGCAACCGCACCTGCAAAAGTTGTGAAATTATGCTATTTTATGTTATCTTTGTTAAGCGTTGCTTTGTTTAATGTTAATCTGTTCATTAAAAGTGTAAAGAACTTGTTCACTGATGTCTTCAGTATTATTACTTCTTGGGTAATAAAAATCCTTATTAATACAATTTGTGAAGAAATTTAAGTTGTTTTGGAGTAGAAGAATGTTACTGCCTAAATATGTGTCTGTAATGTTGCAGTTTATTATAACAGACTGATTAAGGAATGTTTTTCTCAGTAATTATACTTATCAAACATGATTCCTTTATTAATATTTTCAATTTTCCATTACTTTCATTGGTCCTTTCTCATGTATGTACTATTTCTGTACCCTGATGGCAGATAAAATATTTCGATGCATGAAGTTTAATTTGTATTTATCATCAGATATGAATCAGTTTAAAAAGAACTGGAAAATTTTATAAAAATGGGTACCTAGAATGTCTGAGACCATGCTCATCCTTTCTTATCAACTGTTATTTGCCTGAACAGATTTATTTATTTATTTATTTGTTTAAATGAAATTTTTAATTCAGGTAATGACTACTTCTTATCGTGCTGAACGATAATCTTACAAAAATGTGTACAGAACGCATTGGCAGGCTGCAGGGTGGGAACTCGTGTACTGTGTGATTTCATTCTCTGAGTTGTATTCATAATTTTAGAGTAAGATTTCTTCTATCATTAGATTCGTTACATGTTTGTGTGGTGTCAGAAATTACGATTTGCAAAGCGATACTCTTAAGGGTAGCCCAAGATTTGCAAACGGCTTGCAACTTCTTCCAGAAAATAGTGGCGTAGGAAGTTGATGGCTGTTAGTCTCTTTCTTGTGACCTCCCTTCCGAGCCATGTAGTCGCAAACACACAACTGCGACTCTTTCGGTAACCACCGATAGAGGTCTTGTCAGCTGGGGACAGGGAGGTGTTATAATATGCGTATATAAGCTATTTATGACGGCAAGAAGGCAGGTGAACTGCGACTCTCTCTGGAAATAGTTACTAACTGATGTGACCAGTATTGTTGTTTGTTATGGCCCATTGATTTCAATGTTTTGTTTCCCTGCTGCACTATTTCTTTTACATGGACAATATAAGAACTTAGATTTAATTAAGATATTTTAGATGCGTCATATTGTGATTTATTTAAATAGTATTAAAAATATATTAAAATTAGCCGTCAATCACAATATAAGATAATTAAAAGATTAAAATATCATTTTGCGTTCCCTATCGAGTACTCGATTTACATGTGGAACATATTAGTGACCTGTGATACTACAACGAATGAAGAAACAATATAAAGGACAAGAACATGATAAGAAAAATGAAAACTAAAAATCATTAAAAATCAGTAATTCAGTGAAAAGTTTATATACATAACACCAGATGATGGCTATATATAGCCGAAACATGTTGTGTATGTTCCACATGTAAATCGAGTACTCGATAGGGAACGTAAAATGATATTTTAATCTTTTAATTATATTATATTGTGATTGGCGGCTAATTTTAATATATTTTTAATACTATTTAGATTTAATTATTGATTTTCTGTGAGCAGTTTGTCCGTATAGATTTAACCATAGAAATTTTGGATATACCGGTAGCCTAAATTTTAAAAGAGTTTTTATTTACTTAGTGTCCATGCCATTTCTGAAGGTAATTGAATGTTTTGACTTTCCTTCACACAATCTTCCCTTGTTCCTTTCAGTTTCATCTTTTATAACTTTTGGGAACGTGTAATTCCTTGAAACAGGAGTGTCCAGAATCACATTGATGGCAGTGAGAGTATATATTAATACAGATCTTATATCTGTCTTTACAGGAACACCCATTTTTGGACAGAATAAGTTACTAAAACAACAAATTTTTCCAGTATAGAATTGTTTCTAATGTCCTCGATTTGTTCAGATGCAAAAATGTATAGTTCAATCCAGCCACGTATGTTTGCAGAGTATATATTCTATCATTATTAAGGTTAGCTTTTAAAGAATGTGAATAAGTGTGTCCCACCACTGATATTTTCCTTCCTTGTTGTACGCGTGTGCTCCGCCTCCATCCCTTTTTTAAATGCCGAATGTGACTTAGAAGACGCTTTTCCCCGTATTCAGCTTTGTAAGCTGTTGCTTTTTCTTGACAGACTATCACTGGCATGGATAAAAAGGCCAAATTGGATACCAAAACAGATTCTTCACAAAGTGAAGACCTGGACCAGCAAGAACAGACAGAAGCGATAAGAGAAACAGCGTATGGATGTGTGGTATCTGAACGTCAGCCTCTCCTGTTTGAGGGAGGAGCCTTAAGACCATATCAGCTCGATGGACTAGACTGGCTCAAGGTACCATTTGTATATTTACATTTAAGGAGAATTTGATACAGCGAGTGAATATCCGAAGCCAGGAACCTGGCAGGTAGAAAAAAAAAATTGTCTAATGGGACAGTTTTACTTCACAAAATGTGTACATGTTTTGTGTGGACGTGAAACTTGGTCTCTTATCTTACAGGATGTACATAAGTTGAGATCTGGATGCTGAGGGGAATATTAAGTTCTTCCCAAGTGGTTGCCTTACCAGACTTTTATAAGCATTTATTGTTACTCCATTTTAATGCTGCACCCAGCCCTAGAGGTCTGCATGGGTCAAGCCTCAAGTTCATCTTCAAATGTTACCTGTACTGTCCAAAACCTGACTTCCTATTATTCCAGCCCAAATGAAGCCTGATCTATTTACAATCTTCCCCGACTATTATGTGAACAATACAAGTTTATTTTATATAAAATCATGCATACAAACGAAGTTGTTTACACATTTATTTGTATGCATGATTTTATATGTCAATACACTGCGCAGTGTGCGAGGTTTTTTAAGTTCATTTTAATACATAATCTTGAATTATGTAATGAAGCTGTAAGAACATCTGGGTTTCCCAGTAAACTTGCACGTGCAGTCCCATCATGACTTGTTGTACAGTTCACAACGCACATGTAGTGTCGCTATAAACTTCATTTACATTTCTCCGTGGTATTCCCAGATAATAGAATTTTGAATATTATCAAATGATTCATGCAGTTGTTGCTGATTTTGGTGTCATGTCATGCTTATATGCCAGTATTTAATTTAAAACCGTATTCTTTACAGACCTATTGGAAAATTCTCGTGCTCTCATGGTTGACAGACGTTGCATCGATCTCAGAAAAATTGGTCACTCGCTCATCCAGTGAGACAAGTACTGAGTCTCTGAAACGTGTGGTATCCGTTCTTGGTACATTACGCTACACTCTTGTGTTTGTTTCAGGTGTTGTATGAAAATGGTGTCAATGGCATCCTGGCAGATGAAATGGGCCTTGGAAAAACACTTCAAGTAATTGCACTCTTCTGTCACTTAATTGAGATGCATGTGACAGGACCATTCCTTGTTGTTGCTCCACTCTCTACGTTACCTAACTGGATGCTAGAGTTTGAGAGGTTTGCGCCACAGGTATGTGAGTGAGTTGAAGAGACGGCCTCAATGGCTTTGAGTATGGTGAATTAGTAGTCACTGACACGTGAAAAGAGGTGCTCCTCCAGCTTGGGGTTCGGGCAAGGGACTTCCCACTGTACCTGTTGATATATATGGGTATGAAACTTAGTCTCACAATAAAGGAAGAACACAGATTGATGAGGTTAATATTTGGACCTGAGACAGAGGAATTTAACAGGTATAAGTAGTAATTTGAAAACTTTAATAATTGAAATGAGAAGCGTCGTAAGACAGAGCATACACAACAAGAGACCATCAAAATCTTGCTGATAAAAATATTAAAACCCTAATTAAATAAACTACCTAAACAAAACCTGATACATATAAGACACTTGCAGACAGAAACTAATAACATATGGGCAAAGTATAATTAAAGCAGGTGAGATGATAAAACTCTGGTAATACTGAGCCCAGAAAACCAACATAAACGTTTTTTCAAGTGAGAGAACCTCAGATCTTTAGCGGAATTGCTATCGATTTTGTAGAACTGTGATGTAAGCTGCATGCCAAGTTGTTTGCTGGTGCCTTTAGAGTGCTTGCAGTGTGTCGAGTGGTAAATGTGCGTTGGCCATTTGTTGAAAGTACAGTGAAACCTCTATCCATCGTTCCCGGAACTATCGTTTTCCCGGATGCATCGTCCGTTTTGTCCGGTCCCGGATACATCCCATATAAAATAATGTTACATTTTCCCGGTTCTATTGTTCCTCGAACTATCGTTTTATCGCATCGATCATTCAAAAATCTTAGTCCCGGCCCACAATTTTCCCGCAATGATCGTTTCTGAGAATTTAAAATGCTGGGTTTAGAGATAAATTAATACCGAAAGACGCACAATGTTTTTGGAATAAACAGTAGCGGTAACCTGTTATGTAAATCTTCACAAATGCTTTTATTATAAGTACAAAGGAAAGGCGAGCGAAACTTTTTCATTCTTCTGGTTCATATCGTGTCTTCTACAGCTACGTTTCGTTGAGTTCGGCAGTAATAGTACTTCCATTTTTCCTGTTATAGTCCGCGAAGGTTTGATGGAGCGGTGAGGAAGAGGGAGAAACGACGAATGCGAGCCCGAACTTTGCCGAGTTTTGCCGAAGCACACACTGCATTGGCAAAAGTGAAGTCGTTCTTTTATGCGCATAATATTAGTGAACGTGACGAAGAAAACATTTTGAACGTGGAAAGGGCTCTGTTTGGCCTAAAACGTAAAGTTTTGACAAACCAGTTGTCCATTAAAGACTTTTTTGGTAAAAAGAAGTAACTTTGAAAGAGAAACATTGTTTTTTTTTAAATTTTTAATGCTTTCCCGCATCTATCGTTTTCCTGCATTCATCGTTTTTATTTCCCACCCCCGCCGAAAACGATGCATCGAGGTTTCACTGTATATTGCAAGTGAGTGGGAACTACTTTCAGTATACAGCTCTGTCACTGATGCCATCTTCCAGAATGCCTTCCGAGACAGACAGGTGATGTTTGGAGAAATGTGACTTGTAGGAGCATTCTGTATTTAAAAGCACTTAATTGCAAGGATTACTTCTGGCAGATGTCTTTGTGGGCTTTACTTTCTACAGTTTTGTGTAGTTATTGTGTTTCTTGGGAGAGTCTGAATTTATTTTCTGAAGTGGAGTCTGATGTGATGAAATCCTTGTACCAGTAAAAGCATTAGTTCACATTCAGATGTTTTGTTTGTCAGGTACGTGTACTCCTCTTCCATGGGAATGAAAACAAGCGCTATGAAATGTATCCACTCCTGCGTAAGAAGAACAAAGTGAATGATATAGCTGTATGCCCTGTTGTGTTGACATCGTTTGAAATCCCACTGAGAGAAAAGATACTACGAAATATCAGATGGAGCTATATTGTTGTGGACGAGGGGCATCGGCTCAAGAACTACAAGTGCCTGCTGGCTAGGTATACTAAATCATGCATAATCCTAGAGGTATTTTGCCTGTGCATGAATTATGTAACGTAATAGATCCCTCTTTAAGGACCTCAGCTTTTATTTCATACATTTTGATACGGTGGATATTTAATAAAATTCAGCGAAAAGTAATTTTTAACAGTGCAACATCAGACTTTTATGTGCAGTAAACACCAGTAACAGTGGCATGTGCTAAATAGCGAACAATACGTTTAGAAAATGTATATACTGCTCCAAATTGGAGTACACCTGTCTACACTCTTACTTATGTTTTATACTAGAGCAGAACGCTCCTTTCGGAGCTCCCCGGGGGGTTGGTCAAGTTTTTAAAACGCTACCAACCACCCTTCGGGGGAGTTGGTTGTGTTTTAAAATATTGAGTAAGAAACTAAACTACAGTTTTTAAAACGCAACCAATCCCCCCTTCGGGGGTGGTGGTGGTTGCGTTTTAAAATCTTGAGTAAGAAACTAAACCAACCCCCCCCCCGAATT